GCCTCAATAGTAAAATTGGTCTGTCTCACCCGTTCATTCAGCAGCTGTGTCTGTGCCTTCTGAAGGATCTTGCTTGCCCGGTGCCTGCTGACCGATGATTTTAGCTCCAGGCTCTTGGGAATGATGCCACTTTGTCGACATCTGAGGTTGAATCGCAAGTGGTTCGAGAGATTGCAGAAACTACTAAAATTGGGTTATGAACCGTCTAACGCATTATTAAAAACTGAAAGGATAGTGGGGACCCATCGTCTTCAAAGAAGAAATGTGTCCGGAAAAAAATCCTGAATGATTGTGTCCGGTGATCACTTAAATGTTTGGTGAAATCAAATAGAAGAAAACCAACAGTAGCACTCAGGGCTATTTTTAATAGAGAAAGTAAGAGCATTTCCACAAGAACAATACGAAGGGAACTCAAGGGATTAGGACTGAACAGCTGTGTAGCCTTAAGAAAACCATTGATCAGTGAGGCTAAAGGCTCCAGTATACTGTTGCGCATGTCTGTTCACCGTACGTACGCGTCTACGGTACACAGAGGGTTCAGACATGATACTCCAGTGTACACCCCGAGCAGCTGCAGAGCAGCTTCACAGACAAGAGGCGATACCTTCGGGACAAATTGAGGTAGCCGATTGGTCATTTGCTGACACGCCTACTGGATTGATTGACAGGTCGGAAAAAAGAAAAAAAAGCGAGAGCTGGCAGCCTCCGCCGCAGCGGTGTTCTGTGTTTATATGTTGTTAATAAAAAGATCTAAAAAATAAAAAAAAAACAGGGAGAGCTGGCTCTACAGCCCACACATCAGACCAGCCCACCAGGAAATCTCCAGACCCTCCCGCAGTCACGCTGGACCTGAGTTTAATTTGCTCGTGACAAATTCCTCCATTTCTCACCATTTCAGTCATGGCATCAACGGAGGAGGAAGAGATCACTGCCTCTTCGCACAAAAACAAACGAAAACGCCAGATCAGGGATGAAGAAGGGGAATTTAATACATTGGTGTCGCATACCAAACAGTCCCTCACTGGGCAGTTTATTGTGCGACACCACGTACGCGTATGCGGTCGTAAAAATTTGAGCTTTGCACGGACATGCCCTGGGGGGTACGCACGTACCTCTGCGTACGTACGTGCGTACCTCTGCGTATGGATGTACGCGGCAGTATACTGGGGGCTTAACCAGAAATAAAGGCTTCAGTTTGCTAGGGAGCATAAAGATTAGACTCTGGAGCAATGGAAGAAGGTCATGTGGTCTGATGAGTCCAAATTTACCCTGTTCCAGAGTGATGGGTGCATCAGGGTAAGAAGAGAGGCAGGTGAAGTGATGCACCCATCATGTCTAGTGCCTACTGTACCAGCCTGTGGGGACAGTGCTATGATCTGGGGTTGCTGCAGTTGGTCAGGCCTAGGTTCAGCAACAGTATGTGCTCAAAGAATGAGGTCAGCTGACTATGTGAATATAATGAATGACCAGGTTATTCCATCAATGGATTTTTTTCTTCCCTGATGGCACGGACATATTCCAAGATGACAATGCCAGGATTCATTGGGCTCGAATTGTGAAAGAGTGGTTCTGGGTGCATGAGACATCATTTTCACACATGGATTGGCCCCCACAGAGTCCAGACCTTAACCCCATTGAGAATCTTTGGGATGTGTTAAGGAAGTGGTCAGAATCTGCCATCATCAGTGCAAGATCTCGGTGAAAAATTAATGCAACACTGGATGGAAATAGATCTTGTGACATTGCAGAAGCTTACTGAAACAATGCTACAGTGAATCTAAAGGCAGTTCAATGAAATATTAGTGTGACCTTTTATTTTTTGGCCAGGCAGTGTATAAATTCATTACACATAGCATGAAATATTTCAAGACTTTATTTCTTATAATTCTGATGATTATAGCTTACGGATAACGAAAACCCAAAAAACAGTGTTTTAGAAAATTAGAATAATGTGATAAAGTTCTGTATTGAAAACATGCACACTATGCACAGATGAATCCTGGTCATGGGCTACAAATGTCTCATTCCTCAAGTCAAGCCACTCCTGAACCAGAGACGTCAGAAGTGTCGTATCTGCAGAGGAGACAAACAACTGGATTTTTGCCCAGTGGTCCAGTGTCCTCTTTTCAGATTAAAGTAAACTTTGCATGCATTTTGCAACATTTGGGGGTAGCAGAGCTCTGCATTTGTATTGTAATGCACACGGTTGTCACGGTTTGGAGTCTGAGCTGCTACAATCTCTGCTCCCTGTCCATAAGTGGCGGAGCTGCATGATTTGGTTGGCGGGGCACTCGGTTCTGATGACAGGGCGAAGCGCCCTCCTTGAATAATAGAAACACTGGCTTCTAAACAGCTGGTACTTATCTAGCTGGAGCGTCTCTCTATAAGTCACGTGCTCTTGTCAAGGTCGGACGATTTATCTCTCCCTCTCTGCTTTGCTTTGCTGCTCTGTCTGTCTGTGAAACTGCTTCTGAGCCTCTCTCGCATATCTTCCGAACCATAATTATGGACTTGATTTGATCAGTTGGTCCCTCAACTTAATTTACAACATTTCTTTGAAGAGAAGACAGGCTTTAGGCGAGCCGATTTGCCCTGTTGGCACGCACGCAGCTGGATATCTCATCGACTTGAAAACTCAATGATGCGTCTATCTCTGCTGCCATTTGTGGATTTTAAGGACACATTTATAATTGGATTTATGATAATTGGTTCCTGCTTTTTGGATTCGGCTGGTTGCTGGTTTTAACAAGGAAGTTTCAAGGAAGTCGTTGGCAGCAAATTTGGACCCGATCATGCTACTGGCCTTTATGATGGCTTGGTTCGTGCCTCGAGTACCCAGACTCAAATGCTTTGGGCAGAATGGATCAGATCTTGGGGATTTTACTCAGGCACATTCCATTGGTGTGGCCATGTAAATTGGACATTTCGGAACCGTTTGGACCAACACAGACTCAAGGTAGACGTCATTAAGTTCTGCCTGTCCCCAAAACAACTGTGTGTTTATCTGAATTTGGCTCCCTTGGCTGGCCTTGAAGGCCACCTTATCTGAATTCGCCTGGAGAACATGTGATCTGACCCCCCCCCCCCCCCCCCGGAGGAATTTCCAACTGATAACCAGCTGGATTCCCATAGGCGTTGTCCTTGGCCATTCCCCGACATCCCTCGAGAATATTTACGGATCTCACTGGAGGACACTGGCTGATTATTCCATCCTTATCAGAACTCATACAGTGTCCTTGAGAGCGTCCAAGGACTTTGCTCATCGCTCTCGTCATCTCCCCCCTCTGTGGAATGTCTATGTCACTATGTGCTAGTTTGTGCAAGGTGTTTTTTAATATTAGTTTTTCTTCTCAGCCAAGAAGAAAAGTCTGATAGGAATTTTTTCGCCTCCAATTCCTACATGTGTCCAGTTTCACTACTTTTTGTCTGTCTAAACAGATCTCACTTGTAAATGAGTCTTCTAGGCTCAATGTGACTTATCTGTCTAAATAAAGGTTGAATGAATAAACCGTGAATATAAAGTAGGGATAAACCGATCCACTTTTTTTTTTTTTTTTTTTACTTCCGATCCGATCCCGATACTTAAATCTGAGTATCGGACGATACCAATCCAGTTCCGATATCATGATCATCATAGATTTTATATGAGGCTGTAATAATCTCCTCTCAAGTACAATTTGTACAAATATATGCATGCATGTCCAAAAAGGCAACTTGAGGTAAGTTTTATTAATGTTGGATACGTTTTAAAGTAAGAATTAAATTATGCTAACACAAAACATGTTTCTTTTTATTCCTAGCTTTAAAGTGGATATTAAAGTGATTAATTTAAGCGATTGTTTAAAGTTATTTTATATTTTATAAGGGGCAGATATAAGAATTTTTTTCTTCTTTCTGCAATCTTTTCAATGTTTCTTTTTGATGATTTAAAAAAAAATTGTTTCATTTAAATGAATGAATAAATTAATTAAATAAAATAAAATGCTAAATGGCTTCAAACATCTGCTAAGTTCATGGCATAAACCAACAGATATGTTCCTGTTTTTAGTATTTTACATCACTTTATAATGTAGCTGTTTATGTTTTTAATATGTATAATTTTCAAATCATGTTTTTTATGATTGTCTACTGTTGTACTGATAAATATCTCTTGGAGGGTAAACTATTTCTTGACTGCAAGTATCAAGCTGAGAAGTCCTTCGTTTTCTACAACTGATAGTGGTTGGTCATTAATTATGATAAAGTTTAGCAATTTCTCGGTAAACATTTGAGCTCCGTGGTTTCAGCGATGTCTTCTTCTTGTTCAATCCGAAGCAGGCAGCCTGATTTGGGGCAGCCGCGCTCAGTCTGTCCCTCCTCAGAGACGGGCAGACTGAGCGGGGCAGATTGGATGCGGCTGGCTGGGGTCAAGTCGCCTTTTTCGGTTTGACCAAAGAGTAGTGCCCCGCTGAAGCCACGGAGCTCGAAGGTCCATCGTAAAACTAACTTTACCGTGGTTTAATGTGGTGCTATGGCTCTGCAGACATGGCACGTTGCTGTCTTGTTTTGTCGTGTTTCTAGTGTAAAATACTTCCACACAGCGGACATGTTTCGATGAAAAGTTGGTTAGCCGTTAGCCACAGTGCTGCTAACTCAGCCCTCACATTGTAGCTAGCTGCAAACTATGAACTGGATTTCCTGAATGTGAGGCAGATCTTATTACTCTGGGTTCATGAGACACGCCGCCGTTCAGGAAATCCATTCCATAGTTTGAAGCCAACATGCATCATGGATCGGAAATATCGGCAGGTAGATCGGAAAAATCCGATACGTAAATTATGTTGGTATCGGAGGCTGATACCGATACTGGATCGGATTGGCCCCATCCCTAATATAAAGATGGGTACCTTGAGGTTTCGGCGGTAGCTCCTCCTGAAGCTCAAGATGAGGCGTTTGAGGATCAGCTCCCCAATCTGGGGAAACTTGGAGTTGATGATGGCCACAACAGCACCGTAAACATGAGTGAAAATGGGAGACGCTGCTTGAGCCTGCAGCACTGAACGAGCCAGCAGACCCCTGACAGATACACACACAAGCACATGCACACACAGTTTTATAAGACAAGCAGCTCACCAGCTGTTTTTTAAAGAAAACAGCAAAAAGTTAATGAATTAAATTGTATGATTTAAGCAAAAATAATTAATATGTACTGTAAACAGAAACCTTTAACATTAAGCTGCTGTTTTTGTGTGTGGGTTAATATTTACCTTCCCCTGACAATGTTTTCCTGCAGCAGCTCCTGAATGATGTTGACAATATTGGACACGTTGACTTTGTTGATCAAACCATTGATGGACTTCTTCAGAGCCTCCCAGCTCATTCTTTGATAAGCCAAGCTGTACAGACACCAGGGCATTAGTGGTTAAAATAAGTTGAATTACTCTATTTTTCGGACTATAAGGCGCATTAAGCGAAATAAAACAGTCAGATAAGTCAAACTTTATTCAACTCATTCACAAGAACTAAACATTGTTCATTTGTACCACATAAAATCGGTTCGAGGTCAGTAAACACAACCAGAATTAATATATAAGGTGCACTGGATTATAAGGCTCACTGTCGATTTTTGAGAAAATAAAAAGGATTTTAAGTGTGGCGTATAGTCCGAAAAATACAGTAAATTAGTGTTAATTCACTGCAGATGCTATTGGTATGACTTAAATGACTGATGTGCTTCTTTACAGTAAGTACAGAAACTGCTTTTCTCATATAATTTAATTTATTTTTTGTTGTAAAATTTCAGGTACAACAGTTTGAATGGATTATTAAGGTCATATTATGTTTTTTGAATAAGTCAACTTTTAATATGATTTACCAAGTAAATGTGTTTAAACTTTTTCTTACTTAAGTGAATAAAATAAAAAAGGCCTAATTATAGATAATTTTCACGTCAACATGTGTGTATAACAACATTTTTTGTTTCCCATTTACAAAAATAAAACGAGAACCAACTGCACACAGGAAAATGGAGGACTCAGAAGCAGTCAGTGTGAACATAATTTTAAGTTCAAAATAAAAAGAGCAGTTTTCTAGTTTTACTGTGTAGACCAGCAGTGATTAAACAATCTTACCTGCTCTTGTCAGTGATTTGTTGTTGCATGATGCGCAGCTTGGCAGGTGGGATGTAAGCGCCCCCAGTCCTTGTCAGGATTGGATCGACTTCGTCCTTTTTCATTTTAACCGGCGGCTCTTCAACCACATCAGGCTCCTTGTCATTTGGAAGTGAAGCCAACTGGCCTCGCCTCTTGTAATCCAACTCTTCATCTCTATTAGCTCGTTTGTCAAAACATCCACCCTTCTCATCACGCCGACCACCATAGCCATGTCTGTATAAAAATAAAATAAAGTTAAAAAATATTTGTTAGATAAGGGCTGCAAAACATTGTAATGATTCTTTGATTCACTTCAGCTTTTTTTGCTATAACTCTTGTTAGAACCCTTTATAGTAGTATTGTTTATAAATTGTTTGATTTTGAGTGATATATTTGAGAGCGTAGGCTGTGGCAGCTCGGAGCCATTGTCTTTTAATACTAAAGCTGCAGGTTGCATCAGGAAGGACACCTGTACTCTGTGGTCTACACTCATCCAGGCCAGTGGTCACTCTTTCAGGGATGAAGATGTTCATATCCTGGATAGAGAGAAACAATGGTTTGAAAGAAAAGTGAAGGTGGCCATCTTTGTGAAGAAAAATCGTCCATCATTAAACAGGGGTGGAGGCCTCCATCTTCAACTGTCCCCCTCTTACAATGCTGTTAAATAGCAAAGAGCCATTAATGATCGGTCGTTAGGCTGATGGTCCTTCTTTATCATGTGAACAGCTTGTTCTGGATGTCAACAACAAACTGGTTGATCCACTATGAGAAGGTGCTATTTATAAGACTGAGGCCCTATTTACACGGACATGATGGGGGGAACCGTAGGTTTTGTCGTATGTTAATTAGAGGAAAAGATCCGCGTTGACACAGTCGGATTTTGGGTTTACATGCATTCGAAGGAATCCCCTGCCCTCCCGAATCCGCTGTAGTTACCATGCCAGGCCATTTGATGGCGCTGTGAATGTTGTACCTTCACCTAATGTGCATGCGGCATGCGCCTTTCCTGTGAGCTAAAAAGCTCAGCTAACAACAATTTAACAACAAGTAAAAGCTGGATTTTGGCTGGACTGTGGTCAAGAATCGACAGATTTGACGCCAAGTGGGACCGCTTCGTCTAACAGCTCCACACCGGTCGCTGAGTGGACCAGAACCGGGTCGACGATGTCGGACTTTACTCCGTGATAATCAGTAGCTGTTTTACAGCAGGTAAATCAACGTTCTTAATAATGTTTGCTTGTGTTTACTTCAGTTACAAAACAACAGAGTTTTTATTTTTCCTGAAAGAGGGCGGACCGGAAAGAAGGCGGACCGGTTCTGAATGAGGCTCGGCCCAGATGAACTGCAGGAGGACATCAAAGACAGAGAGAGAAGTTGGATGAAATATTTATTTAAAATTCCCCTCAGTTGTTTTATTTAATCCATTCACTGTTTTAAGCTACATTAATCAAAGTAGTGAAAGCCTGAACGAGCCAGATGAACAACGTGGGACTTCCATACCGGATGAAAACAAGAGTCCAGTTGTTCATTAACGTAGTTTACAGTTAACTTGTTTTAACTTGTGTGAATAAACTGTGAATAAACTAAATAGTGTGTTCAGTTTAATTATCAGTGTTTGTGTGCCATACAGTTTGTGGTGTTGAATAAATAAATAAAAATTAAACCTGATGTCTTCATTTTCAACTTTAGTGTTCACGCTATATGTTTAGCATCATTTTAAATTTGAATTACATAATGTCCAGAAAGCTTCATTTAGCTGAAAGCTTCATTATATCTCTCACACTAACATAAATACTGTGATAATCAGTAGCTGTTTTACAGCAGGTAAATCAACGTTCTTAATAATGTTTGCTTGTGTTTACTTTGGTTACAAAACAACCGAGTTTTTATTTTTCCCGAAAGAGGGCGGACCGAAAATGAAGGCGGACCGGTTCTGAACGAGGCTCGGCCCTGATGAACTGCAGGAGGACGTCAAAAACAGAGAGAGATGTTAGATGAACTATTTATTTTAAATTCCCCTCAGTTTTATTCAATCCATTCACCGTTTTAAGCTGCATTTTTTTTTTCTTGCTATTCTACGGTGAAACCAGACGCGTTTTCCCTCTCTGCCCCCCCATCCGCTTCCCTGCTGCGCTCTTTTGTCCTGTGAACCCTTAAAAAGCCTCTTTTTTTTTCCTGCATACCTCTTAATTGGAAGGATCAGCTGGTCTCTCAACAAAATCGATCAACTTCTCCCGACAGGAGTCGGGGTAAGGAGGACACTCCGAACTCAAGAGGAAAAATTGGATTCATGATGACGACTAGAATCTACTGTTTGGGTTGGTGGAATCTGGTTGTCTACAAATTCGTGTGGAGGTGTTGAAGCTTGACAGTGCTCGGACTGAATGTGGAGCTGTGACAGGGAATTGGAGCAGCTGTATCAGGACTGTGTTCTCCCTGGCAGCACTCATGAATGGTGGAATAATCTTGGAGAAAGCTGTGAGCTCGACTTTTGGAGAAAAGGATCAATTTGGCTGTTTTGGAGTTTCCATCAGAGAATATGTACCAGCAAGACTTTAAAGGCAGAAACAACAATTACGAGTTCTGCCTGACCCAAACTGTGGCCTTGATACCGGACTTATCTCAACTCCTCCTGGAATGTTTTGAAAACAACAAAGATGCTTTGACTGTTTCCTCACCCCTCCCTTCCCCAAGGCCGTGGACATGTAACAGAACCTCAACTGAGCTGAAGATGAACGTCACCTCTTATCTGGACAATGGCTGAGGGGGGGCTCTGGACTATGCTATGACTTTCCCTTAAAAATTCAATGTTTTCACCACCTATATGTAAATGTATAACATCTGTTTATGTTGCTTTGCTGTGGTAGGTTTTTTGGATGCCTCAAATTGTGCCCTGTCTAGGACACGGTGTGAGAGATCTTTTTTTTACACCGTCTCTCCTCATGTTTTCTTTCCTTTTCTTATCTAAGCAAAATATTATTCTGAATAAGAATAAGAAGGCCGCGCTGATTATTTTAGCCGCAGCTTCGTGCACTCCGCCCATCTTCGGACGACTGTACGTACATATTCGCGTTGTATCTCGGTGCAATGCCAATAAAGTTTATTCTGATTCTGATTAATCGAAGTAGTGACAGCCTGAACGAGCCAGATGAACAATGTGGGACTTCCATACCGGATGAAAACAAGAGTCCAGTTGTTCATTAACGTAGTTTACAGTTAACTTGTTTTAACTTGTGTGAATAAACTGTGAATAAACTGAATAGTGTGTTCAGGTTAATTATCAGTGTTTGTGTGCCATACAGTTTGTGGTGTTGAATAAATAAATAAAAATTAAACCTGATGTCTTCATTTTCAACTTTAGTGTTCACGCTATATGTTTAACATCATTTTAAATTTGAATTACATAATGTCCAGAAAGCTTCATTTAGCTGAAAGCTTCATTATATCTCTCACACTAACATAAATACTGTTTATTATTATTAAACTGTTATTATTTAGCACATTTAGTATGTTATGGTGCAGCGCGACGTGTGCGCGTGCCACGTTCTATAAACAGCGACATTAGAACTGGATCAGACTGTATCTCTTCCAACACAGATGTCGGTCACAGCACCTAGAATCTGACGTAGATTAACTATGAGATTAAAAATATATTCCATCAGTCGTAGTTCTGAAAGCAGTATGTCCGCCGCCATGTTGATAGAAATATAACGTCTGTCCGCGCGTGCGTGTGCGCATGTGGTTTAACACAAAGCTTCAGCGGGAGGTGTTTACATTATCAGCGGGGGGGGGTCAGCAAAAAACCTCCACTCTGTAAGGTGGGTTGAAAAACCTCCCGATTCAAAGAGGGGGGGGGCCACTGGTGTTGTGTAAATGATCAGCAGAACCGCAGCGAGATACCTACGGATGCACTCAAAATACGCGCCGTGTAAATGGCCCGAGTTTGTTGCAGCTCCTCAGACTGACAAAGTCTTTTGGATAAAAGACGAAACGTCTCAACAATTTTTTATTTGTCCCTAATCCGCCCAGAATACCTGACTTCTCTTTGTTAGAACAACTTCATATCTAAAAAAGTTATCTGGTCCTCTGGACATTCAAAAAACAAAACAAAGCAAAGCAAAAAAAAATGTAGAAACGTTTTGTCTATCATCCAAAAGACTTCCTCAATCTGAGGTGCTGTATTTTTTTTTCTCATTTACCCATTATACTACCCCAGGTAGTCTCATTGAGCCACGAGAACTCATTTTCAAGAGAGATCTATTTAGGGAGCAGATGGTGGGGGTTAAGGGCCTTGCTCAGGGCCCAGAGTGGGACAAATGAGGGTGGAGGCAGGTGTGGGTGTTTCACCTTTTCCACCCACATTTTGATGTTGACGGTACCGGGAGGTGAACCTGCGACTTTCCGATCACAGGCCAATCTTCTAACCTCTGCGCCACCACTTCCCATAACTTGCTGAAGTGTGGTCTGATCTAGGCACGTTGTTAGTTTTTGTTTAATGTGCTCTTCTTGTCTGAATACAGCACCTCAGACTGAGGAAGTCTTTCGGATGAAAGACGAAACGTTTCTACATTTTTTTGTTTTGCTTTGTTTTGTTTTTTTGAATGTCCAGAGGACCAGATTTAACTTTTTTAGATTTTTCTACCTGGATTATTGAGCATGCATCAGGACATTTTGAACCACTTTGGCCAGGATTGCCTCAAACTAGTTAGAGAATTGGAGAAAACAGCAAGGAAGAGGGCAGACTACAGGAACCACTTGCGATTCAACCTCAGATGTCGACAAAGTGGCATCATTCCCAAGAGCCTGGAACTAAAATCTTCGGTCAGCGGGCACCGGGCAAGCAAGATCCTTCAGTAGGCACAGAACCAGCTGCTGAAAGAACGGGTGAGACAGACCAGTTTTACTATTGAGGCCTTGAAGGCCAAAGAAAAGCACATTAAACAACAACTAACAACATGCCTAGATCAGACCACACTTCGGCAAGTGTTGGACTGTACAAATCAAGCACGCTTAGCACAGCATGTCAAGTCCAAGACTCGACAACAAAACAAGTTTAATTTACTAATAACTCATCAACACCATCACTATTCCAATAACAGCACATTCTGTGTAAGACAACACTCCAGTAGACAATTACAGGCCAGGGAGACAGAAAAGTGGGTGAAGAATTTATCTGACAGACAGCTCACCCAGCCGGAGACAGAGATTCTTGCCAGGGGACTGAACTTTGCGGT